CTGCTTTCCAAAGTTGAAGTAAGTCTTACTCATTCAGTTAACAAGATTTTCAAGTTTCATGTTATATTTGGAAGAGACAAATAATGGATTTTTTGTTTTCCCCACAAATTTAACTTTCATAAGCATAGAAAATTTGCCTCGGGCCTCATGTGTGCCTACACACCATACTAAATTTTCAGGCTATGTGATATATATTTTTTAATTTACCAATCTTAGACTTCAATGCCTTTTCTTTGTTATTAACTAAATTAACAAGCTTAAAATGGCTGAAAAAAAGCAAAAAATAAACCCTTTACTAGGATATTACTCATTAGGCTAAGGCAAAAATTTACTGGTATGCAACAATTCATAAAATGTTAAAGGGACAAAAAGGGAGTTTATCAGCCCATCAAGGATGTCCCTTCCAGCCCCCAACTATAACTACCCCTTACCACTAATATATTCATCTAATATTTTCTTGAACTTAGTTAAATTTTCTGCCTCCAGCACCCTTGAAAACACGTCATTCCAAAAGCCAACCACCCTGTTTGAAAAGTAATACTGTCTAAACTGCAGACGACTCCTACGCTGCCAAAATTTTAATTTATGACACCTTGTCCTAATTGTTTTCACTGCTAAACACAAAAAAGTTTGATGGATCTGTATTATTAATACTCTTAAACATCTCAATCAAATCCCTTCTGACTCTTCTCTCCAGAGAAAACAAGCTTAGAGATTTTAGTCTCTCCTTATAGGATAATCACACCATCCCAGGTCCATCCTCGTGGCTCTTCTCTGAACCTTCTCCTACAATTCAATGTCCAAAACTGTACAAGGTACTCTAAATGATGTCTTAGTGATCTATAGTGAAACAATAATATCTCTTGTCTTGTATTCAATATTTCTATAGATGCTACCCAAAATCCTATTAGCCCTATTTCTAGCTACAATACACTGTTTAGATAATTTAAGTGATTTTTCTATCACAACATCAAGATCTTTTTCTTTAACCACAGTATTTAATGTATTCCCATTTAAATTGTGAAAACCTACAAGCATCACCTAACATTTTGGATAGTTAAACATCATCGGCCACGTATTGGCCCAATGCATCAAATGACCTAAATCTCCCTGTAAGTCTGCAGCATCTTTGACATAGTTAGCCACTCCAAAAATCTTAATGTCATCTGCAAAGTTCAAAATAAAATTCTGTTAGTCTTTCCAGAGTCAATATCATTAATATAAATCACAAACAGCAGAAGACCCAGCACAGAGCCCTGAGGCACACTATTTGTAATTGTGATCCAGTTAGATCTAACTCCATTTATCACTACTCTCTGCTTTTTACTCTCCAGCCAATTTTCTATCCAATTTAATAACATTTTCCCCACACCCACAGATTTAATTTTTTGAGGCACCATAGCAAATGCTTTCTGAAAATCAAGGAAATCCGAATCCACAGTATTTATTTCATCAACTCTTGCAGTAACATCCTCAAACAATGTCAGAAGATTTGTTAAACAAGATTTTCCCTTATTGAAACCATGCTGACTCTTTGACACTATATCAAACTGCTTCAAGTGACTCTGCAATGCATCTTTAATTACAATCTCCAAAACCTTTCCAACTAGTGACATAAGTCTAACTGGCTTGGACAATGTTTATCACCCCTTTTAAATACTGGACTAACATTAACCAACTTCCAATCTTCTAATACTCTTTCACTACTCAATGAATGGCCTATAAAAATATCAGCTAGAAGTTCACAAATAAAATCTTTAAGTTCCTTTAAAACTCTAGGATAAAAGTTGTCTGGTCCAGGGAACTTGTCAATTTTTAGGTTTCCCAACGTTTCTCTTACAATTTCAGAACTTAAAATGATACCTTTTACATAAATATTTCCCCATACATAAAGTGCTCTGATTGAAGTATAATACTTGTATCTTCCTTTGTAAAAACTGAAGAGAACATATAACTTAATAAGTTTACCATCACATAATCTTCCAAGATCAGCTCCCCACTATCATTTTTAAGAGGCCCAATCCCCATCCTAACATTTTGCTTACCCATCATATACCTAAAGAATTCCTTATTGTTTGATTTAACTCTCTCAGCCAACCCTTTTTCATATACAGTTTTTGCCCTTTTAACTTCATTTTTAACCAGCTCTCGATATCTTGTAGTCCTCCAAGTCCTTATTATTTCCAATAAGCTTAAATTTCTTGAAATTATTATGTTTATTGCTTAACCTTTACTAAACCATACTGGCTTATTCTGCACAGTTATCCCACAGTCTTGGGCTACTTACCTTAGGAAAGACATTGGATTGTTGGAAAGGATTTAGATAAGGGTTACTAAAATGGTCTCTGGGATGGAGGGGGCTGTCATACGCTGAAAGGCTGAAATCTCTCAAATTGTTTTCTCTTGAAAAAAGTTAGGGGATCTGATTGAGGTGTTTAAAATTGTAAAGGGAATTGATAATGTTGATGTATCATTTTTATATTAAACAATGAGAATAGTAGGGGTAGGGGACACAAATATAAATTTTGGCAAGGTAGGAGTCATCTTCAGCTAGGACAGTTTTATTTTTCTAGCAGGGTGGTTGGGC